ATTCATTTTATGACTTCTCAGCATAATACACAAAATTTAAAATATATATCCAAATAGATATGTGACATGCTAGCTTAAAGCGATACTTTTAGAGAGAAAAAGTAACTGAATAAAGATTTTTCTCTTAAAAAAGCAATGAACTTTGACCACTTCTGGAAAACTTGGTTCAAGTTCATGAACTAGCAACCTACTGAGACTGTGCTTTTGTAAGATTATAGATAAGGGTGTAAGCAAATTAGCTGTTCCTTAATTACATTCCATATCTGATCATATTTTCTAACTTTAATAATTGGCGACCCACTACAGTTACACTTTCCTTAACAAGAAAACTAAACGAGAGGAATAAATAGTCTCAGGGCCAGCATCAGAGCCGGAGCAACCAGTGCGGCCGCACCGAACGGCGCAAGTTGGTGGCGGCAACATTTTTAGAATTGAGGATCCTCAGAGATTGCCCAAGACGTAAAAAGCCTGAGTATAATCGAAGCTTGTGCAAGACTGCGATTAGTCAAAGTACCCAAGCTGTAGACACAAATGCCATTTGATAAATTAGTTCTCTGATTTCTGACTTATTGAAACTGTAACGACTTGTTTGTCTTTTGACTTGCTTTGGAATACGTAATAAGTAATAAGTAACACACGTAATAGGTAAAAAAAAATTAACATAAATATGAAGAGAAAGTCTTACAGGAAGACATTTCTTTCCTTAGGACAAGGGGCCCACCAGCGGCCGAGCGGTAAAATCGCTGAACACTGGTGTTTCGGTCCAAGGTTCAAATCCCGCGAACGGGATGGCTGCATGGGCGTTTTCGTGGTTTTCCCCATGTGTAACCTGTATACGAGCTAGTTTCCCTTAGAAAGTCCGCCACGAAGGCATCCCTTCCCTTAGGCAGATAGCCCTAGTGTGCTTTGCCGTATTCTCAATACACAGACCTTAGGACAAGAGGCTTCGCATGGTTTGCCTTAATCCGACTGAATAATGAAATATTTCATCATTCCTAACGTAGATCATCATCAAAATTCACTTTCTGACCTTAACAAGTCAACTATAAATGACTAATTGGCTCGAACGAATTGAAGCTTCGGCTTTCTCCGCATAAACTTAGGGTACAAAAATATTAATTTTATTAAGATTTAAATATAACATTACATAAGACCCAAACCACCTGCTATTTGTTTTGGTGGGCTGAAGGAAAATGACTGAAATTATACTCTTATGTACGTCACATCCTGAAGCATTTTGCGGAGGGCCAACAATTGTGTTCGGCTAAAGAAACTCGTTTTATGATTTACAAATGATCATATGACATGAACAAACAAGTATATTAAAATTGGCGCCACAACCGAAGAAATGTTTCGAGATTCTAAGTTTCTTGCTTTGAAAAATTATTCTTGCGTTGAAAAAAAAGACTTTTATACTTATTCTTTGTCTATCTACTAGATTTCTTGGAGGAGGAGAGAGTTACGATTTACTTTTCTATTCTCTTTCGCATTCTCTATAGATATTCTAATTGCAGATGAAGCGTAAAACCCGCAACTTATCTGCCAGCGTTAAAATGTGACAGACAGAAATGCATTCTCTTAACGCTTGTTTGAAAGACAGTTTACTAATTTTAATGCTATTTCATGGCAATGAGAAAAATACTTACAACGCTATGTTTCACTTAGATAAGCAATCAAAAGAAAGACACCGTACGTAAAATTCTAAAAGCAAAGATTCCTCGAAATATTGCGTTTGACGAAGTATTGAAGGAATTTGTTTTCCAGTTTAATTAAATAAAAAAAAAAAAAACACTCTCATATTCAGCTTAACTGGGAAATAAAATTTTTTGGCCGATTAAGGCAATTATAATGCATATGTTTAACAAATTTATTTAAAAAATATTCCATTAGTATCTGCGAAGTGGGAATTTTGAATTGTTTTAATATTAAGGATACAGTATAAATAATTTTTATCTGAGTTTTAATAAGAAACCTAGTGAGCTGAAGCACATTTTGTGTACTAATTTTATTTTCCGAAATAGTCATATTTCAGAGAACTATACTTTTTAAATACTCATTCATTTCTTTTGACAATGTTTTAAAATTCCAATTTATCAATTCCTCCCCCCCTTTTAACGAAAATTAGGAAATTTTTTTAATTAAATTTTTGTCTTACTCAAGAATGTTCATATAAGCATATTTCAAAAATGCTTTCTTTTGAATATTAGAATAATAAATCTGATGCTATTTAAAATTCGTCTGAACTGAAACCTATGTACTAGAAAATCATATTCGAAAGGGCTGTCGAATGAATACGAAGCAATGGCATGAGTACACAGAAAAAAGAAGTGTAATACTTTATCTCAGAATAAAGTACTGATATAAATTATATAAAGTACTGTACTTATACAGGGTGTATCAGGACAGCGGTGACAAAATTTCAGGAGAGATAGAGTACACCTAAACAATGGGAAATCACATAGCAATGCATGGTCGGAAAGGCTTTCCTGAGGCGGTAGTGACGACACAAAAGTCAAGAAAAAGGGCACGAATAGGGTGAGAAAACATATGTATTATTTGGAGTAAAAAAAAAAAAAAAAAAAAAAAAAAAAAAAAAAAAAAAAAAACGTTAAGAGACAACGATCATTATCAAAGAAGGTGTTGAAAATTACGACCTGGACCGTAATGCAGGAAACGTGCGTCATGCATCTTCCGTTCCTGATGTATAGATCTCCCACGTCCCAGAGAAATGAGGCCTGCATCGCGGTCCAGGGTCGTAATTTCGAACCCCTTCTTTAATGACGATTGTTTGTTTTTGTTCTTATTTGCAGGTTTCCGCTGTACTAAACATACTAATAAAACGTGCTTTGCCTCACTGTTTGTGATCCTCCTTTTTTGCGTTTTGCGTCGTCACTACTGCGCCAGGAAATCGTTTCCCACCATGCATTGCTATGTGATTTCGAATCGTCTAAGTGTACTCTACCTCTCCTTAAAGTTTGTCAGCACTGTACTGATACACCCTGTATATAAAGTACTATACTTACGCTACATACATAAAGTACTATACTTACACTATATATATATTTTTTTTTCTTTTCTTTTTCAATTATATATATATATAATATAGTATATTATATAGTATAGTATAGTATATATATATAGTATATATATATATAGTATATATATATATATATATATTTAATGCTATAATTATTATATACTAAAATTCTTATACAAAGTTACAAAGTTATAAATGATCCGGAATTCCCTTTTCACAGGTTTAAGAAAAACCAAAAATAATAAAGCTTGTATAAAATTATGCTGTTATATAATACTGAAATTTCGATCCGTAGCTTTATTCACATATTGTTGTATGTGATAAATATTGGTAAGGAAGTGCCAACAACGTTTACAAGGTTGCTGGCACTATACAACAACAGACACACTATATAATAATCTATAACTGGCGAAACTTCATAAAGCAGATCCTTTTGTGACCACGGTTGATCAAGTGGCATTTAGATATCGAATTTCTGCGAAAATATGATAAATATTCTATTGAGCTGCAAATACTCTATTGAACATATGATTTGTATCGGTATAGAGGTAACATATACACTACTCAAAACAATTAGGGGATATTATGATTTTGGATATAAACTACGTATGAAGAAATCTTTTGGTGATGATGCATAGGCGATGCCAGATTTGGAAAAGAAAAAGAAGCAAGAAACAAGGAATAATTAAAATTTTTGACGATATTTGTCGGTAAATAAAAAGCGTACAATTTGTGCATATTATATAAACAAACAAAATATATGATATCTCGGATACAAATTAGTTTCAATAAGGAATATGGTTTCCCTGAGCAAAAGCAATGTAGCACACCTCATCGTCCACTGCTGCATCGTAAAGGACCGCAAGAAATCTGAGGTACTCATCCCTATATCGCTAGGCTGTTAACGTTCCATCCCTGATAGTATGCTGATCAGTGCGGCCATTGATAGCAATACCGGCCGTGACCATAACTCCGTCAAATCGGACACTTTCACGGACAAATGCAGGAGTATTCCGTATACCGGGTTGTCTCCAGATGAGAATTCGCCTTTGTCAGGTTGTACATTACAGCAGGAGTCGTCCGTGAAGAACGCGTTGCTCTACTCATCTCGTTCCAATCTGAGATGCTCCTGTGGCAACCTTCTGAGAACAACGCGGTGGCCCTGTGTGAAAGAAGTCTACGAGTATACAAACTCAAATGGTGGAGTCGGTTTCCAACAGTTTGAGTCGAAACTCTGGTACCAGTTGCCCTCTGAAGGTGCTGTTGCAAGAAAGTGGCGGTCATTGTGCGGTATCTTCTGGCCGTTAGTATTAAATACCGATCCTCATTTTGCATTGTTGCAAGCGTACGACCCTGTCCCTGTCTTCGGCGAACATTTCTAGTTTCCCAAAATAAATTCCATAATCTGGAAAGACACCTTGAGAAACTTCTAACGCTTCCTTTACAACGGATTGCGTTTGACCTGCCTCTAAACAACCGATGGTCTTTTAGGCTACCTATTCAGCTAAGTCACCTTGCTGAGACATCATATTCACTGTTACAAAACATTCAGTGCATGTCAATTGTTTTAATGTCTTCCAACAGAAGGAATGTTGCAGGTCGCTTTTCACTCTTTATCTAAAATGCATAGTTTTCGATGTCACAAACAAAATTCCTACCTTTGTAAACGCTATAATTTTACTTTTTAACCTCTTTTACTTAATTTTTATTAAAAATATTATCAATTATACGATTATTTCATGCCGAACTCACAATATCCCCTAATTGTTTTGAGCAGTGTATTTGCTTAACCTTTCTCTGAGAATATTTTGGCTATTTATGGACATGGATTATAAAACATTAGAATACTAGCTATGTTTAATTCTTTTCTCATGAAATTAATTTTAAAAATTATTTTTCGAAAACAGCAATTAAATTAATTTTAAAATAACATTAATACTAATGTTTTTAAAATTTTACAGCAGATGGAGGGGACCAAAAAGGTGGCTGTTATCGGAGCTGGGACTAGTGGTTTGATGGCTATAAAAAATTTAAAGGAAGAAAACTTTGAGCCGGTTTGCTTCGAAAAAACTTCAAGGGTTGGAGGTCTGTGGCACTACCACGAAGATGACATCGATGGAATACCTTCGTGCATGTGGTGCACTTCTTTGAATAACAGCAAAGAACTTGGAGCCATCAGTGACTTTCCTCCGAAATCAGATTATCCCAACTACATGAGACACTTCAAAGTTCTTGAGATGTTCATGGACTATGCTAAAACGTTCGATCTGCTACATCACATAAGGTATAATAAAGAAGTCATACACATTATGAAAACGCAAGATTATAATGAAATAGGCGAATGGAAAGTAGTGGTGAAGGATAATATAACCGGACACCACAGCGAAGATGTTTATAGTGGTGTCTTAGTTTGCACAGGCCACTTATCAATACCGAATGTTCCCCATTTCCCAGGAATGAAATCATTTAAAAGAAAAATAATACATAGTCATAGCATAAAGAAATTTTTGGAGTTCAACGACAAAACTGTCTGTGTTATTGGCACCGGCAGTTCCGCTCTCGATTCTGCTGTTGAAATTAGTCACGTTGCTAAACAAGTAAGTATATTTGTTTTTTGGGAAAAGGCATAGCACTGGGAAATAAAATCCAGACTACGGTAACTTTTGGTCTACATCTTCAAAATTTTCTATAGCTTAATTATATATTGAAAATAATAGTTGAAGTAGTCTCTTTAAAGCGGGTGATCATGTTGAGCGCCAAGCCTGTTTTGTCTTCCTTCCTTTTAGTTTGCTATATCCGATTTCACCAATATGCTAGTGGCCAAAGATCTATGTAGAATTTGATAGATGAATATAATTTTTAAATTGTATAGCTTCACTCAACAATAATGGTGCGGCTTGACGAAGAATATACTATCAGTCATCAGATTCTTCTTATTCGAAGTATGGTAACAGTCACGGATGATTGGTGCGGTCCGAATAGAAAATATAGTGTCAGTCACTGGTGACAGGCATGGCGCTTCGCCCTCAAGCCATACAGTGAGATATATTCATAGCTACGTCTTGCATAGGTCTTTTCTTTACTAAATAAGTGCACAATAATTAAAATAATACTTAAAAGATATACTTCCACGTGGCATTACGATAAAACAGTAACATAGTACATTATTTTACCTTTTTTAACAGCTCGATTTAAACTTTTCTAAATTTCTTTCAGGCGTTAAACTGGAAAAACTGTGAATGCAAATTTAAAAAAAAATTGCAATATAAATATTTCAGAATGAATTCTTAACAGCCCAAAGAATTTGCCATTAAATTTCAAAAAAATTAAAGAAACTATTCAAAAATATAAAAATTTTAATCTAATTTTAACATTTAACTATTTTAAACTATTTTAAACTAAACAATAAGGTATAATCTACTAGTTTAAGAATTAATTTCTAGGGATTCAAAATACAAAACATAGCCATATATTTAAAATGAGCAGTTATGAATAAATTGCCAAGAACTAGGAGGGAAAAGTTTTGTATGACATTTATCTCATTATAAATTATCAAGTCAAAATCCGTGCGGTTACTTTAATTTTTTTTTTTTAAATGAGCAATCTGATACTGATATCAGCTTATTTATTCATATTCTCCAAATCCGTTTTTCATATTTCATTCAGCTCTCTTTTAATTATTTGTTTACATTAAGCCTTTTTTGGACAAAAATATAAACAAATAATAGATTTAAAATGGCTATATGAAATAATAGTAATAAGAAATTGTATTATACTTCTCTGTGTAACCTGTGTATAAATAATATACATTTAAATTTCGATAAGCCGGAGAAAAATATTAATCGAAAATTCGAATTTTAAGGAGAAAATAACATTACTTTCGAATATTCTAAATTTCAGCATTTGCTTCGACGTACCAAAATTTCGATTTATTGAAGTTCGATTGTAAATTTAATGAAGTACTAGCTATATAATTCGTCATATAATTCGAGTTACAAAATGTGATCTCTAAGAGAAATTTATGCTGTAGTCGTTATAACTAGGCGTCAAAAACATTAAAACATTCCCTGCAAACATCTGCATATGTTTGCAGGGAACTTTGATTGTATGTAAATACTTAGTCACCAATTCAGGCCGTAACTTATTCATGATTATCTCTGGGAGTAGGAACGAATTTGGAAACCGGCTACTAATCTTTATAGACAGGATGAATGAAGGAAGAGGATAAGGAAATCATAATATAAGTACATGCCTATTGAGTTACGAGGTAATGCTGAATTGGATAATTCAGTTTAACCGTCTTTCTGGAGGAAAAAAAAAACTTTCGTCTTCCCAGATTTTCAGTCCCCCCCCCCAATTTGCAAAAATTCCACAATCACGAAAATATATAGTTTATTTGAGATTCTGACACAGGAAAAATGACACAGCATAAGGATCAGTTAGCTTTTGTTAACCAACACTTAATCTAAATCGGCTCCAGGATAAGAAATGGGCAAATTATATAAACCTGAGAGAAGCACGCTGAGCGAGTCTATATACGAACATAAGCAACTATGAATAGAATGTATAGGAATGTACATATAGATTACAAACAGACGCACGACAACTACATTTTTTGTCATAACGTCTAAAGAATGAAGTTATGGTAACTTACCAGCAAATGATCTGCAAAAAAATCTCAGACTAATTACAGAAAACAATTACTTGAGAACGAATAAGGGCTTTGCTTCATAAAAATTGTGTTTCTACAAATATTCTCTAAGTAACAGTTTTGAAATATCTCAGTAGATCAGAATATATCTGGTTTTAGGAGAATTCGTAGTTATTTTACAACAGCAGCCGTTGCTTATGTTGGGAAAACGTATCATAAAGGGCCCGTTAACAGTTAAATATATATGGCGTTTCCGGTTTAGCTTCAAACTGGAGTATTCATTTAGAATGAATTTGTAAATGATGAAATTCGTTATTGACTGATCGATTGGATATGTATGATCAGGGCCGGTGTTAAGCTTTCTATGCCCAAGTGTTTGCAGAACTCTGCCGTTCGGTGCTGCCGTACTAAGCTTTGGCGCCATCTTTTTATGTAACAGTTAAGTCTCTGATTGGTAATGACCCCCAGACAGGTAATCTTTGTAACTCTTAGATAACTTCATTGAACAGATATAATTAACCTGCGACAAGAGATAGAACTTTGTTCTATCTGACTAAAATTAATTGCGATGTACTTTAAGTTGATACTAATCATTTGCTGCTCCCCTCTTCGATATCATACATCTTGTATTGAAATTTTCTTATTACGCGGTTTGTTCTTAATGATTGACTGCTACAGCAGTATCAGCAAGCAACATATTATTTGTGAAATAAAGCGTAGTCTTGGTTTTAGAAAATCAGTCAGGTAATGAAAGTATAATATGGGATTATTAAATTTTTATATTAATAACTTAATTTTATCCTTAAACACCAAAATGTTTTTAATTTATGCTTGATTTTAAGTACTTTGCCCTATTTGACTGTCATTTCGAATCCTACAATAGAGTTTCCAACTAAATGAGATAATAAAAGTCCTCCCGCTTTTATTATCGAGCTGAACTTGAATATAAACAACTGACAGCACTCGCGTTTCAATTCGCCTCACTTGAAATTATTACAGTTGAGTAGACCATTATCAGTGCAAATAAAGACATCTGTATCTCTTATCTGATTTAACTGGAAGGTGACAAAGGAAAGAGTTCACAATAACTTCAGTTAAAAAACACTAAAATCTTGCCAAAATTTCTAGCATTTCTAACAAACAAAAAAAAGGTGAAACCCCTTACTCTTCTTATTCTATAAAAGCATTAAAAATGATAAAAACTACCAAAGCTAAAAAAATATTGATTTACTTGTTGGGACAATACATAATAATACTTTAACTTCTTCTAGCAATGTAGTATTTAGTACAGATTTTACAATAAAATTTACCTATTTATTATGCAATTCTGATATCCTTAACATATGATTTATTAACTGGTGTAAGAAGCCATTCATTTTGCAATGAAATAGAAATCTATATTCTAAATAACTTATCTCCATCAGGTTTCATGCGCTGATAAAATGGCCATAAATACACTGGTGCGCAAAATTTAAGGACGAGACTGTTTTTAAAATGCAACACCGTGTAGTTGTTTTCCACATCGAATCAAATTATATTGTAAGATTAGAAGAGAAACACGCAATTATTATTATTTGAAGTTCAGATTTTGAGCGTAATGTGCATTTGCCCCTCGCTCCCTATTTTAACTTCGCTAATATTTCTTTATGCTTGATCAGACAGCCTGGCTCAGTAAAAGTAGGCGGCCAGTGCAACTCTGATTAAAAATCTAGTTATAACCACGTGCAGTGCTGATAAGCACTACGTGTTCTATGACTCCTTCTCCTAATTTTTTTTCTTTCTGTGTATTTCTTTCTCCTGATGAGGAGGGACCTTTAGCTGCCCTCGAAATCGATTGAGTGTTTCATTATACCTACGCTAAATATAAGGTTGTTTTTTACGAATTTGATTATATTGTAAGATCCCCAAGATGTGAAAATATGGGACATGGGAGTAAAATCATCCAAATAAAGAATTAAAAGGATATAAGGGCATTTTATTGAAAAATTAGCTCCGAACGCAGTTGGAAACAAGACAGAAATATCCATGAGACAGGCGCCCCTCAACAAAAATCCAATATTTAGAAGGGGATATGATCACCCCTGACAGCGATACAGGAATTACAATGTCTGCCCATGCTGAGCAAAATATTGTCAAGGAGCTGTTGAGGCATAGTTCTCCATTCCTCTCATACCACCAATTTCAGTTGCAGAAGCGTTGCTGACGGCTGCTCACTTGTTGCCAAGCGTCTCCCGAGAAGGTGCCACACGTGTCCTACGGGATTTAGATGTAAGGACGTTTCCTGCACCGAATTCAAGGAGGCTGAAAAGCAAAAATGTAGACAAAAGCCAACATTTTTTGCAGTCTTAATTAATTTAAATAAACAAAATCTTTTGCTTTCACAAAAACTAATAATGATGGGTTCGGAAGAAGATTACTCTGTTGGCATCCTTTAGAATATGCAAATTTCGGAACAACAGTAAAAGCTTAAGAAATAATACCTCTTTAAAAAGTAATTCTTCTCCTCCTTCTCACCTAAATACAATACAGTATCCATTACTGAACTCATATATCAATAACTCATTAACTAGCAAATTTTTTTATCTTGTAATCTAGTTCCCTCCCCCCCCGTCTTGGAACAGAAGTCTGATTAACATAAAATATGAAATCAGTTATCTAGAGGATTACAGATGCTTACTGCAGTTAACTATAGGAACATACTAGTAGACATGTTGAGCAATTAGTTCACATAGGCACTTTTCTCAGCTTCCTTTTCAGTCACTAGATGTACCGTAATTGTCAAGAGGACAGTGATATTACAGGATATAAGTAACAGACTTAGCTAGCATCAAATATATAATGCATATCAGTAATATGCTTTTTTACCGATGAGGGACAAACAAAATTAAGCTGATAAACATTTAACAGCAATACGCAATACAATATATAAAATGTGAAATGCATAAG